CGCCTCAATAGGGTGACGTATGGTGGTTTGCTCCGCTCCAGTGACGTAGAATGGGGGGTGGTGCCGAGGGTTGCAATTTTTTTTTTCTTTATATGGAGCTTCAGCATTTTCGGCTCGTTGCAGAATTTTTGTTGAAAAGGTAGTGTGCGGTTGGGAGGGTTGGGGGGGGCGGAACTTGGCCCACCGCGTATGGTACTGCTTCACTTACTTCTCTTATTTCACTTACTTCACATACTTTAAACACTTGGCTTACTTTGCTTACTTCGCTTGCGTCACTAACTTCGCTTGTGACATAGATTCGTCGACGTTGAGATTATTTATTTTATTTATTTCAAGATTTTTTTTTTTTTTTTTCTTTTTTTGGCTCGAAAGGGGAAATTTAGGAATAACGCTTAATGCAAGAAGAATGTTTGTTCCACATACCGTNGGGCGTGTTATACGCTAATAAATACGGTACTTTTAAAATAAAGATAGGTTTCGTACTCATAACAAACTTTTTTTTTTTTGGTTAATGTTATTGACTTTGGAGACGAATAGCGTTATACCATAAACTATTAACATACCATTTGGTGCGCATATCGAAAATTATTTTTTTTTTTTTTACTTATCCGGAGTTTGCAGCTTAAGTGAAATCGTTTGAATACGTTGTGTTTCATGTATGACCATATTTTGTTTTACCCATTTCCGGTTTGAGTACTTACGCCGCAGATTTAAGCCATTCGTATATATATATTGAGTAGCGCAAACGAACTGCTACATCTAGTCATTTAAAAACATTCGACGCTTTATCTTTGCCTATTTTTTTCCTAATTTGATTTTTGGTTGCATTGTTCATTTTTATGTTGTTTTTTTTTAAAATTGTATTTTTTTCTTTTGTTTGTCGTTTGTCGTGTGTGTGTGTGTGTGTGTGTGTGTGTGGAATGGGGAGGGAGGAGTTGGGTATGGGGAGGGAGGAGTTGGGTATGGGGGGGGAGGAGTTGGGTATGGGGGGGGAGGAGTTGGGTATGGG